AATTGTTTGTTGGGGCCACAGTCGAAGCCGTCCTGTCGTTCGAGGAAAACGGGCCGAGCTGATTAATTAATCCCAGAGAGAATCCAGCTTCTCCCTGTCCGTACGCTGCCAGATGCCTGGCAGACAGAAACAAGCAAAAGGTGTCGCTGCGAGTCCCTCCTGAGATGTTAATGAAGAATTATTTCGTTACGAGATCCACAAGCGAGAAAAATAACATCTCCTAGACTCTGAAGAGACAGTAAAAAAGAATCTGAACACAATATCCAACCCTAAAATCTATTCAGAACAATTTTCAAGGATGTTTCTGTCTTTTGTAAGAGCTCTTGTGGCCCGAATCTTTTGTGAACTTCCTTTGAATTTGCTCCCATTTCTACAAAAGCACAAAAATAATATGAGGGTCTAGAATAACCTGCTGCTATTTAGAGCTCTGATTCATCCATTGTATTTTTATCTTTTGAAATCGCTGAGACGATAGATGAGAAACTGCTCTTCACTCCTTTAAAGAACAGGGTGTCTCGTCACGGCGCTGAACATCTGTCCTCTACGTGGAGGCTCTCAGTGGGATGTCGACTTGACTACATTTTCTAAATGCAGATGTTTTACTGTCATCTCAGGGCATTGAGGGGATGAAAGGTTAGTGGATGAACTGTAATGTTTGTTTCCTGATGCAGGGAATGTTCTCAGCAGGTGCGCTGCAGGGACGTCGGCGCAGCTTTCAGACTCACATCTTGCTGTTGGAAAATGTGCTGGTTACTGTGGTTTTACTAAAACTAAAGAATATATTCCTAAAAATAAATGTGTGAAACCTGTGTAAATACATTTTCTTGAACCTTACTGACACTTTCAAGTAGCTCTTGCCTTCAATGAGCTTCTATATGAAGAAAACAGCTCATGCTCCTGTGGATGAATTTAATGAAACTTAAAGTAAACATTTACAGCTTGTCATGTTTTTGGTCAACTTGATCCAATATGGCTGCCCCAGCTAATCAATCTTAGCCATCATAATTTGACTCCAACTCTGTGCATTTTGCAGATATCGAGCCAACATTTGGTGTGGTAGTAGCTGATAGTCATTCACAACACAGACTGAAAGATCGTCTCACGAGCAGAATGGCTACAGCTCCGTCGTTTCTTGTATAAGAGGATCTTTGTCTTAAACTCTGGCATGAATGACAGCAGGTGGTCTGTATTCCTTCAAGGAACGCTGGGCATTTTATTTTCTTATCGTTTCTAATTACAGGCTGCTCTGATTCGCTCTCGCTTTTTGAAGTCTGGGACGTCAGTCTTGGCTGAACCTTCTATTTAAAACATTTAATTCAGGGCTATTCGACTAAACTGCTCAGGGGGCCACGGTTACTGAAAGCCAAATGCTCAGGGGCCGGACATCCAGCAGTTATTGTCATCAAGTAAGTTTGTTTTACAGTTTAAAATCTAGTTATATTTAAAGATGACCACATTGGTGGCCTGAACTGAGCTCATCCGTGGGCCTGATTTGGCCCCTGGGCCGCCACTTGAATAGCCCTGGTTTATAGTTTGGCTAACAAAAGTCTGCTGAGGTCAGTGATCTACAGCTGACTGGCCTTAGCCAACACAAATGGCTTTAACTCTGTTCTTTTGACAGAGAGTTAGCTAATATTTGGCGTGGTAGTAACTGAGAGTCATCCCCAGCGCTTGCTCTGAGCTCCAACAAATCAGTCTGTTTAAATCTTTGGGATGTGACGTAACATGATTCCTTCAAGGAATGCTAGTTTTGTATTTAGCTGATATTTGGTTCATTTTTTATTAAACGACACGTTTGTCTTTAGGTCATCGTTTGGTGTTTTTGACCTCGGCTTTTATATTTCTTTACATTTATTTCTGCCATTGTAAATCACTTTATTTTGTACTTCATTTTTGAAAGTAATCTTTTTCTATTTTTATAAATGTTTGTGTTTTGTTTTTGTTTTTTTGCTCTGTGAAGATATTTAGATTTTACTTGGAAAAGTGTTTTTGTTTTTTTTTCAAAACAAATAAGTCAAGTCTGGACGTTTTTGTGCGTGCGCGTCACATTTTACGTTTTTACTCTTGTTTTTGAGTAAATTTCGATTGGGAGGAAAACGCGAACTCTGCTTCAGACGAGGAGAATTCTGAGTCCGTGAGAAGCGTTTGTGAATAAACACGCTCGCCGGGGAATACTTAGTCTGATCCCCTCTGTTCCTCTTCTGCACGTAGACTCGGGGGAGTCTCCCACACAGCGCACATCGGATACAGTCATTCTTTTTTTAGGTTGTTGCCATGGAAACCTCCAGAGGAAGCTGCCTGTCGGTTGTCAGCTATCCTTATTATCCATTTTTCCTGACCTCCACTCCCACCACTGACATCTACTTATTCCTTTATTTAGCTGCGAGCAAGTAACCCCGACATGTGTCCCACCTGAAGAAGGTGCAGCAGGAAGTCAAACTTTCAGCTCAACGCTTCTCGTCTTGCTGCTTTCTGATCAGATGATCAGGGGAGAAGTCTGCATCAATCAGAATCTCCACTTATCCATTGGTTGTGACGCACCGACAAGTTCTGAATGTGCCTCAGAAGTCAGCCGGGCTCTGAATAATCTGAACGAGACTCAAGGACACAGAGGAGAAGCTAAAAGTGTGAATGTTAATGAAGCATTCACACTGTTGTGATCCATTTTTCTTCCGTACGTTTTTCAGCATCTTTCTCGTTCCACAATTTTCCCGCCATTTCAACAAATCGTAAATCAAAACGTTCAGCTCGTTCAGGAGAAAGGTGCTATGACTTTTGGTATTGGCACAACTTAAGCTTTTTGAAATATTTAGCCTTTTCTGCCATTTTTTCCTCATAGAAAATGAATTGAGCTCATTTTACATCCATCAAATACATTTGATTGCTCCTTTCACATTTTGTCCTGCTTCAGCTTCTTTCAGCTTCCTTGTGCAAATTTAAACTTTTTTCAGCTACTTCCAGCTAATTGTATCTGTTCTGTGCTTCTTTTAGATTATTTCTGCTAACTACAACATTTCTGTGCTTCTTCTAACTTCCTTTGGCTAATTTCAGCTTATTTTTTGCAAGTTTCAGTCTTTTCTGCTGTTGCAGCTATACTATTTAGCTGTTTTTATGCTAATTTTAGCTTTTCTGGCTAATTCCACATTTTTTGCACTCATTTCAACTTTTTTCAGCCTAATTCAGCCAAAATGTTCTCTTTCCACTTGCTTCTGGTAATTTAAGCTTCTTTCTGCCCTTTTAGCTACTTTTCAGCTGTTTGCTGATTTCAGCTTTTCAGATAATTTCCACTTCTTTGTGCTAATTTCTGCATCAAATTAATTGGGTAAACAAGTTATTTCTGCTTTCTTTTGGTAATTTAAGCTTGTTCTACCTTTTCAGCTACCTTCTCAGCATTTTTAAGCTAATTTCAGCTGTTTTCAGATCAAGTCAAGTTTTTTGTACTATGTAATTTCTGCTACTTTCAACATGGAGGCTGCACAGCTGCAGAAAGAAAAGCTTTGCAGAGAGTGGTGAAGGCTGCACAGAAGACTGTTGGAGTCAGAGCCTCCCCACCATCACAGACATCTACACCTCCAGATGCAGGAAGAGAGCCACCTGCATCATGAAGGACCTCACTCACCCAGCACACACACTTTTTGCCCCGCTCCCCTCAGGAAGGAGGTTGAGGAGCATTAAGTGTAGAACCACTAGACTGAGGAACAGCTTCTACCCTGAGGCTGTTAGACTCATGAATCTCTAACCAGAATAATCATTGTGAAAAATCACATGTTGCTGCTGATCTGTTTCATGTTACTGCTGATCTGTTTCAATGTTGCTGCTGATCTGTTTCAATGTTGCTGCTGATCTGTTTCAGTGTTGCTGCTGATCTGTTTCATGTTGCTGCTGATCTGTTTCATGTTGAAGTGTTCATGCGTGCTCATCTGCTCACACAGACTCATGCTCATGTTTGTGCTGTTGTTCGACGTAATGTTTTTATGCCATTAGTGCTTGGTGTATTTTTAGTTGATGTTTTTCTTAGTTCACCTCTTAGATGTTATTACTGTTTTTCTTATACATTTTATTGTTGGATGTAACTGGGACCCCGTGTACATAATTTCGCTCCACCACATGTACCACATGTGGTGCGAATGACAAAGAATCTCTGACTTAAATTATTTCTGGTAATTTTAGCTTGTTGTTCTCCTTTCAGCGTATTTCTACTAGTTTCAGTTATTTATTTTTAATTATTTTATTGTTTTCTATTGTATGGGTGTACACATGTTTATGTTATGTTTTTAATTTTACTTTATTTGTGGGTGTACACAGGTCTTATGTCTTATGTAATGTTCTCATTTTTACTTTATTTTACTTTATTACTATTCGCACCTTATGTCGAAGCAAATTCCTAGTTTGTGAACCTCGTTCATTGACATGGCAACAATAAACTGATTCTGATTCTGATTCAGCCACTATTTAGTTGTTTTATGCTAATTTTATCTTTTTCCTTTAATTCCAGATTTTTTGCAATAATTTCAACTTTCTTCAGCCTAATTCAGAAATGAGCGCTCTCCACTTCCTTCTGATAACTTAAGCTTCTTCCTGCTGTTTTTGCTACTTTTTAGCTGCTTTTTGTTGTTGCTAATTTCTGCTTATTTTTTTTGCTACTTTCCTAAATCTTCTGCTAATTTCTAATAATTTAAACCAATTTCAGCAAATATGTGTTCTTTCTGTTTTCTTCTGCTAATTTAATCTTGTTCTTCCGTTTCAGTTATATTTGAGCACATTTTTTGCTAATTTCAGCAAGTTCTTCTGCAGTAAGCATTCACACTGCGTTTTCGCCGGAAATGCAATTTCTCTAATGTTGTGTTACTAAAGCCTTTGTTGAAATAAACACAAATGAGTGCGACTCTGAGCTCGTCTGTCAAACTTTAAACTAAGTGAACAAAATAACATTATTCTGAAGGAAACGTTAACTCAACACTAAATCATTACTTGTTTATTTTTTTCTGTTACTTTGTCAGTTGGATGCCGATCGAGATGAAGAGGAGGTTTTCTGTGACATCAGCATGACGGTGGACAACAAGCTGTTTCCCTCCAAAGAGCCGGCCGCCGGTAAGTTCAGCTCAGAAACAAACGCCTTGAGAAGTGCAGCTGTTGGCAGCTGTGAGATCATCCTGGTTGAGGAGTTTCACTCAATAAATTTAAATGAATGAATAATTTTAAGTAAAATGCAAGGTGGAAAATAAAACTGTGATATCAGCAGCAGCAAAATATTTATTAGAGGAAGCAGATCTTTCAGGACGGAGGCGTGTTTAGCACAGATTGGGGCGTCCACTGTAACCGTAAGACAAAATGTCACTTTTAACTAGTGTTATAGTACTCGAGACCGGTCCTGGTCTTAAGACTGGTCTCAAGACCACCTTTTGATGCTCTTGGTCTTGTCTCGGACTCGACCACATTTGGTCTTGGTCTTGTCTCGATCTCGGACGTTGAGGACTCAGGATTTTATTTCAAGACAAGTCAAGACTGGAAAACTGTGGAAATATCACTAAATTGCCAGAATATTGTCCAGTTTATTTGTTAACATCTTTGTTTTTATTGGACGCAAAACGTACTGATTCAAATCCAAGCGATAACGTTGTCTCGGTCTCAGTCCACTCTGGTCTTGGTCTTGACTTGGTCTCAGGTTAGGTGGTCTTAACTAGAATACTTTGATTCCTTGAGGAAACGTTTTCCTGTCCGCACCGTCTGGACTCCACGATCAGTTCAGACAACATTTGTTAACTTGAGTCCCATCCAGGACCTGGTAATCCCTGTGAGTTCAAACAAACTCAACTGGACTTCATTTTTTTATTTATTTTTTAAGCGGTTTTGCTTCTCGTTTGAGCGTTCTCGTTTGTAACTGGAGATTGTCACTAACTGCTTGACTTAAAAGTTAAAGTTTCTCATCTGCAGGTATTTGATATTTTTTATTAATGCAACAAGAACTGAAGGAAATAGAACATTTGTTGTGAATAAGAAGTGTTTTTGAACATTCAGCTCTGACTTGATCACAACTCTGTGCAGCCTCATCCACCCTCGTCACCAAGGGTGGAAGGAAGGTTGTGGCTTAAAAGCTCTAAAACTAACAACAAAATTACAATTTGTGTATTTACTTGACTCAAATCGAATGCTTGGACTTTAATGCTTTTTTCATTTTACTAAACTAGCTTCACTAACAAAGGCTGCAGAGCAAATACAATCCCTGTTTAGATGATCTCAAGTCATTCTCACTCATAAATGACTACCGAAATGAATAAACACTGCTGTAAAGCCTTCTGATTGCAGAGGTATAGCTGCTGGACGTCACCTAAATGTTTTCTGTTTTCTTCTTAATATTTCTTTGTAAGCCAGTCCAACACAACATTCACAAACACTTATAAACTGGCCCAGAGATACAGTAATGACCTCCCGTCTCAGCACGGGGGCGGTTGAAGTCAACCTACTGATGTTACGCCTCTGAGCCACCGAGTGAGGTAGTCACAGAGCAGAGTTGGTGTGAAGTGGTCGATGCGATGATGGTGTCATTGGCCTGAAAAGGGGCTCCTCTGGAGATAAAAAGTAGCAGATCAGCTTGTGATCATTACTTCCCCACTTTTTTATACCAAAATAATTGCAACAACAAATGTAAAGTGACAACTCCCATGAACAGAACTGCAGCACATACAGCATATTCTGGTTTACCAGGAGTTAATATCAGACACAACTCAATGTTTTCAAGCTGTTGAGTGAGACTATACAGACTTATAGGTGACAGAAGCATGTTATTGTGTTTAAATTGAAGTTTTCTGTGCTGCACTGTGGTGCAGTTGTTAGCACTGTTGCCTCGTGTCAGAAGAATTTAGGCAAAGGTTATGGATGTTGATAACGGACTAATGTTAAATTAATGTTGAACCATGTGTGTGAGGTCAAGAGAGTCTTTTGTCTACTCGGAGAGGAGCCTGCAGGCTCACGGAGCCGCACCTGATAACTCCAAGGCCTTGTCTTCATCTGTAAGCTGGAAAGCAGAGGTCGTCTTGACCTCTCCTCTGTCTGATACGTGTGAATTATAAAACACTTCCTGCCTCACTGTCCGGCGCAGATTCTCACTGACGAGGCTCAAAGCATGTAATTTTTGTACATTTGTGAAAGCTTCCTCGTTACCGTCTACCTAGGTCTATCACGATAACTAATTTTGCTGGGCGATAAATTGTCTCAGAAATTATTGCGATAAACGATAATATTGTTTGAAATTTGACAATAATTAGTAATTGTCTAATTTATGAAGAAATGTTAATTTTTGTGTGTAGTACTTTTTGTTACCATGGGATGGCAGTATAGGACTGTTTGAACCGAAGGATGGATGGTGAGGGAGCAAGCAGCATGTCTCTAAGAAAACTGAGGGAGGCATCTTGACATGACATGGGTTGTCTCTCCCTGTTTTTGGTTATCAAAATGGTGGACGCTCAGTGTGGTTTGAGCTCTTTAGCTTAGCATTTTTCAAACAAAGCTTTTAATAAAAAAATCAGTAAAGTTCTCAGCTTCTTTTTGCAGAGAAAAAACAACGTTTTGCACGAAGGCACGAGTTTCAGCTGTGAATTTTGGAGCTTTGACAAGACGGAGGTTTTTCCCCGAGGTCAGCCTGTTAGCTTAGCTCGTAGCTTAGCTTCTCAGCTTAGCTCCAAAAACGTGATTTTGGACGGTTAAAACAGATTTTAAAGAGAAAGGGAGGGGTCAGTGACGAACACCAAAGATGAGCCTTTTGTCATCCAGTGTCTTCAGTAGAAAGAGAGAGACATGAAGAAACGATAAAACCGATAAATGAAAACGAGGTTGATAATTTTCATTTATCATGCGATAAATTGATTTATTGTTTATCGCGACAGGACTACGTCTACCATTGCAAACTGGGTTATAAAAATCTTCGTGTCCTCAAAGTGGCTTATTTGAGTAAGCAGATGATGAAATTATATTTATTTATCCAACACCGTGTAGCAAGAAGGTCTCAGGTTTGACTACCAGCTGTGTGGAATTTGCACGTTCTCCCCGTGCACGTTTTCTTTGAGCTCTTATTTTCATCTACAAACCAAAAATGTGCATGTTAGGTTGAATGACTGCTATAAATTGTGTTTGCATGAATGTTTGTTCAGCTCCTCATGCAAACCCTAAACAGGCCAACAGAATATTCCCCATATTCCAGCTACAGTGTCTGTTGTTGGGTCGACCTTCATGTTTCAACAGCGTCAGGAAGCTTTACCGACCCGTGGGCTCAATCGTTGCCTCACCTGCTGTCATTCCTTGGATTACGTCTCAAACATCCTCGGCTCTGTGGACCAGAAACGTCCCACAGGAGGTGTAGTGCAGAGATGCTAACTATCATAATCTGATCAAAGCTGCTCCAATCCCTGAGCCGTTCCTTTCCCTTTCATCATGCCGAGTTCAACAGCCGAATAATGTCCGTACATTTCACTTCAGCTCTCAGCAGTGTCGGCGTTACGTCCGACTTGTGCTCACAGCACCTGCAGAGTCATTTACCTGCTGCTTGTGCACGTGCAGAGCGCACCGACAGCCCGCATTTACCTGAAGACCACAATTATCACCCACCTGCTTCCTGATCGCCACACGAGTCGTCATGACAACGAGTGGCAGGAGGTTAGCAGCGTGTCGTGTAGTGGACGAGGTGCCGTGACGTGCAGTCTGCGATCAGGACCGAAAACACGAGGACTTTACGAGATGTGGTCAGCTCCGAAGGTGTTTCTGCTCTGATTTCATTAGTGATTTTCACAACAGCAAGACTTAAAGGCCATAAATGTTATTAACTTCAGCTGTGAAACGAGCCGTCAAAATATGCCTGGGTTTAATGCTCATCACAGTTTAGAACCAAAGAGAAGGTGGAACTTGAGACGGCGCCCACACAACACATTTTTAAGGACATGATTATCACGTCTTTACTAAACAACAAGCCTGTTTTAAATCATTTTAAAGAGGAAATGTTATACAATAGATCCGGCTTTTAAACATTATGAAATGTTCCAATGTCAGTTACGTAAACACGACAAATAGTTGCTGTGGAAAAAAACTTTGAGTTCAATCTTTAAAAGTATTTAGCGACAGAGGTCAAACCCGTGACCTTTTAGGTGTTTATGTGGGAAATATAAGTTAAAACGACCATTTGATTACTGATTTAAAGAGAATCTTGTTTTAGCTAAAATATAACTACAGTTTATCAAATGTTGGCATTTTGGGAAGATTTGAGTAAAAATATATTGTGCAGCAGCGAGACGCACGGGGTGGAAGACGACAAAAATGCTTACATTTTGATTTAAATGTACTTTATAAAGTTGTGGGAGTAAAAAAAAAAAAGTTTGCAACATTTTAGACAAATGGTCAAATGTGGTACGTCAGACACAAAATCCAACTTTCTGTGACACGTTTAAACTTGAAATGTTTCTTCAGTGACGTATTGAGACACGGCGCTCCAAAGGGAGCTGAGCTTTTTTATTTATTTAGCTAAAATCCCATTAACCTCTATTATTTATATCCAGTTTTTTTTATATATTTTGCTGTACAACATAACATTTTCAAAAGTCAGCACACTATTCCTGATCAAATCACAACATTCTGGTGTATAATTTTTACACTTTATTTAAAACCTGGGCAGCAAAAATCAGCACAAATGTGATGAACTAAATAGTAATGAGGCTGCTTTGGTGTGTTGGAACATTTACCAGATAACTTTCCCCAAATCTTTGCATAAAACTGAGAAGACCAAAAAGAAGTAAAGAAGCCTTAGTTTTTACTCCAACAGAGTTTATAGACTAAGGATGAGGAGAAACAATTTAAAGCTAAATCAATTTCTTTTGGTTTTTATAACCTAGTGGGACGATCGTGCGTTGACACGTTTTAGTTCCAAGTATCTGTTCTGTGAATAAAATCTGCACGTGTGCAACACAAACGTGCACAGAAAAGAGTAGGACGGCAGGGATCGTTCTATGTTCACATTCCTCACACAAATCCAGCATCATTTGATATTTTCTCTGCTGGTGTCCAAAATTAAAATTATTGGTGTACGTTCTCAAACAGGACATGGCAGA